CCTCCAATAAGACCACACCTCCTAATTCTTTCCAAAACAGTTCCACCAACTAGGAAACAAGCATTCAAATATATGCACCCATGGGGGCCATTCTCATTCAAATCACCACACAAGTACTGCATGGTTTCACCTTCACTAAAAAAGCTTGCCTGGGCTGTCTATTTTGTCTTTCTAAAGAACACCTTACTAGTTTGTTTTGACATACATATTACATATAATGAAAACATAATAGACTACAATATAATGTCATTAGAATTTGTGTGTGCACTGAGAAACAAACAGAAGATGTCACCAGACTCAACTGGCTGTGATGTTCACTTTATTGCAACGATAAGGTACCACAGCAATGTCTCTGAAAGACGCACGTCTAAATAACTGGTTCCTGGGATGACAGAGGCAGAAAGAGAAACCACTATTACTGCTTTCCTGAGACCTTTTAAAAGGATGGTGGATAGGATGTGCTATTTGTATTTTCTTAAAATTTAATAAATTGTTTACATTTTGCACACGAATGAATTATTATTGTTCAAGAGTGGGTGCAGAACTTAAGCTTGAACTTGAACACTAGGAGGCACATTCTTTCATGTCGTTTCAGAGTGAAGCTTGGCATGGTGCCACGTGACGTTAATGGCTACCGAGGCAGGCAGACCTCTGAGTTTGAGGCGAGCCTGGTCTCCATATCAAGCTACATAGTGAGACCCTGTCTCAAAAGGCAAAAACGAATGTTATTTCAGAATGACGGGGTATTTTGTTTACATTCATGTGTGTGTACCATATACATGCCTGGTACTTGAGGAGGCCAGGATAAGGTATTGAATCCCCTAGAACTGGATAGTTGTGAGCCATGATGTGGATGCTGGGAATCAAACCCAGGTCCTCTGCAAAATCAACAACTGCTCTGAACTGTTGAGCCATCTCTTCAGCCCCAATGAGAGGGGTTTTTTTGTTTTTTAAAACAAACAAAAAAAATTACTTAAAAAAAAATACTGTATGGTCCCAGCACTTGGAAGGCAGAGGTAGGTGGATCTCTATGCATCTGCAGCCAACCTGGTCTGTGTAGCAAGTTCCAGATCAGCCAAGGCCACATGGTAAGATTCTGATTCCCAGCAAGTCAAAGGAAACGACAAACACATACTGATGGATGAACGGGCCGAAAGACCGGCTCCATCAGTGGTGAGTGAATAAGCGAGACTGCACTGAGCCATACCGTTCTAGAAGAGTGTGGCACAGGGTAGGGTACGGCACATAAATTCTGTGCAAAGGCATTGAAATGGAAACAGAAACTCCTGGAAATAAACTGTAGCCATTCCTACCCTTTTGGTTTGCCTCTTCCCGCACAGAAACATGGAATCAGGAAGCAGAGAGGTCAATGGCTTACACAAGGATGATTAAGGAATGTCATCAGTGGCCCCTCCACTAGAGAACCACTCCTTTAAGTGCATTTCCTGTTCATCCCATTTAAAAGTGGATTGAGATATGTATTAGCCAGGGGAGTTGGTACATGTCTCTAATCTTAGCTAGACTATGAAGACAGAGGCAGAGGAACTATAAATGTAAGGTTAGCCTTGGTTACATTGAGAGTTTTGGTCTAGCCTGGGCTATATTATATTGTTAAACTAAACCCTGTCCCCTCCCCTCCAAAAAAAACATTAAAAGTAAGATTCATATTAACAAGTGCCATCATAATACTTATCCAATATATGCACAATAGATTAAAAAAAAATAAGGAAAGACGAGAGGTTTTTTTTAGAAAATCGAAAGCAATAAGGCTTTGAAGCAAATCCCCCCTTTCCCATTCTCAAGAAAAGTATGCACCAGATGTGGTGCACACATGTGATCCCAGCGCTTGGGAGGCTGAGGTGGGGATGCTGTGAGTTTGAGTACAGCCAGGGCGATACAATATGATGCTAACACACACATACATACATGCACACACACCAAAAACAGAAATATATAAATTGCATAAGCAACTTCAATAATGTTAAAGCTATTGATAACGTAAAACGTAAAACAAAATGTGCCCATTCTCAGAGAACCTCGCCGCCCTCAGGAACCTCTTACCTTCTTCCTGCCCATGTCTACACTCCTCAGAGGGGAGCTAACAGCACCCTTTTCTTCCAGATGTTGCAAGGGTCTCTTCTGTCCCATATAACTTTCTTCAGTTTGGGGTGACCTTTCGGCAGCTTCTTCATAGAGGTGGTACAGCTGCTCCAGTCTCTTAGTGAGCGTCTGAATTTCCTGCTGCAGGGCTTCCGATTTCTGCAAGACACGACATTAAATAAACATTTCCGGTGCTCCAGGCTTCCCACGTTATTCCCAACTACCTACAAGTTCTATTTCTATAGACACTGAAGGGACACTGAGTAGATTTGACATGTACTTTTTTGTTGTGTGTATGGGTGTTTTGCTATATGTATGTCTATGCATCACATATGGCCAGTGTCCAAAGAGACCAGAAGAGGTATCAGATCTCTTGGAACTGGAGTTACAGATGGTTGTGAGCCACCATATGGGTGCTGAGAATTGAACCTAGGTCCTCTGCAAGAGCAGCAAGTACTCTTAATCACTAAGCCATCTCTACAGCATTGGTTGTTTGGAGTTCTGAAACAGATTCTTATTCTGTCAACCAGGACAATCTTGAACTCACAGCATTTCTCCTGCCTCAGCTTCCCAAGTACTAGTATTATAGTTGTGGATCATACATCTGGATATATTTATTGTTTTAAGAAATAAGTAGAAAACCGTGATACACAAAGATAAGATGTATTCATAGTGGGAAATAAAGTTGCATAACGATTTTGTTGCTGTTCTTTGTCTTGCTGTGTAGACCAGGCTGCCCTGGAACTCACAATCTTACACTCAGCTTCTCAAAACCTGGGATTATAGGCATGTGCTGTCATGTCCAGGTAACACAGTACTGTTAAATTAATGTGTATTGATCGTATGCTGAATTACACTAAGCATTTATCATCTATTAACCCATTTAATCTCTGCAACCCTACTGACAGTAGGAATGTCAGCTCTTCACTTCAATTTACAAATGGAACTAAGGCACAGGGAAGGTAAGTAACTTGCCCAAGAACACACAACTGACAGATGGTGGAGCTTGGGGTCATAGGAGGGCTCTGTGCTCTAACCGAGCCATCATGTCTCCAACACAGTTAAGGACAGCCTGTTCTCTTCTTCCACTTAGTAATAAAAATGCAATCAAAATGACAATGAAGAGCTGGAGAGATGGCTCAGCATCCAACACCCAGGTCAGATGTGGGAGGCACAGAGGGTTTTTTGCTTGTTTGTTTGTTGTTGTTTTGTTTTGATTTTGGTTTTTCAAGACAAGGTTTCTCTGTGTAACAGCCCTGGCTGTCCTGGAACTCACTCTGTAGACCAGCCTGGTCTCAAACTCACAGAGATCCACCTGCCTCTGCTTCCTGAGTGCTGGGATTAAAGGCGTGCACCACTGCCACCCGGCTGGCTCAGAAGTTCTTGTACTCACAGATAAGTACTAGGGGAACCAGGAATGTTAAACACACAGGGTTGTTTCTTCAAAGGGAGAAATGTAGTATCTTTTCTACCCAGAAGCCTGGGAGTGGATGTGATTAATAGCCTGGTGACTTTTGATTTATCTGTGTGGCCAAGACAACTACCCCAGATCCATCCCCAGACCCTTATTGTGAGTTTATCAATCTATAGAACCTATCTTTATGAAAGATGTTACATGTAATCAATCTATAGAATCCATCTTTATGAAAAATGTCACATGTACTTTGCAAAGTTTTGATGTCGTCATGTCTTAAGGTTTATTGTGCACAAGGGATTGAGTTATTTATCACCAGAAAAAAGTTTTCACCAAATTGTGCTGTGCTTAAATATGCTTAAAATAAATTACCTGGGGTCAGACTCTCAAAGTTTGAACCAACACTGGCTACCGAGTCATGTTGAACTGAACTACCTTCTTGCTTCCTGAGGACCATTGCTCTGCTGGCTGTGGTGGTCACAGAGATCCCTCACAGTCAGGCAGCTGATAATTACTCATAACTCTATCTCTAAAGGATCTGAGGTCCTCATCTGGTCTCCCTGGGCATGCACACAAGTAGCATACATTCACATAGACATGCACACATAGACATAAAAAAAATAATAAAAACAAATCTTTAAAAAAATTGCAGTGAGACCAAAGATCTTACTAACTGGCTAATATCAAAATCTACATATTAAATTAATAAAATTGGGGAAGGGAGGAAATGCTCAGATGGTAAAGTGTTTGCTGTGCCAACATTAGAACCCAAGTTAGAATACTCACCACTCATTAAACAGCTTGGTGCACATCTGTAATCCAAGCGCTAGAGGCCGGCAGATGCCTAGAGCCCACTGGCCAGCCAGAGTGGCCAAATCAGTGAGCTCCAGGGAACACACCCAGGGGCAACCTCTGGCTTCCACATGCATCAACACACATATGCATGCATATTCACGTGCATAGGTGCAAACACACAAAAGCACATTCATTAAATTGGAAAGAATAACTTTTTTGCCAGTACACTTACAGATTTCCACAACTGTTCATTTGCACCCATTTCCTGGATCCTCTCTTTCACTGCTTCCTCTGTGGCTAGTATGGGGCCAATGCTGTCACTCAGTAGAGTAGCCAACTGACCAAGGAAATCCTGGTGATGGGCTTGCTCAGGTGTGGTTTCCCAGCTGCAGGAATATGGAGGTCTGTCGAACTCAGATGTTAATTTTTCTTTGTGGGTCAATTCGTGTGGACATTTACCCCCAATGTCTTGCTCATCAATTGGTCCTTCAGAGTAAATAATGTCTCTCTCAAAGTTGGAGGCTTCACCATTGTCCTAAATGTAGCAACACAGGGATTAAACTTCCCGTCTGAAACTCAATGAACTATGAATACAGTAATAACACAAAACCTTAGGAGAAAAGACCCTTAATTAGAAACATTGAGAGTCATGAATTTGAGGCCAGTCTGGTCTATAGAGGGAGTTCCAGGATAGCCAGGGCTACAAAAAGAAACCCCCAGGGCTACAAAAAGAAACCCCATCTTGGGGAAAAAAAAAAAAAAAAAAAAACAAAGAAAAAGAAACATTAGAGTCACATAAGAAACAAGGCATAGATTTAAAAGAAGGGCTGATAGTAGCAAGAAGTGGGAATTGAAACAGCCAGTCCAAAAGCCCTTGCTGACAAGGACAAACTCTACAGAGCATTCGAGCTCAACCGTAGAAAGAATTCAAAAGCTGTCATTTTATTTTATTATTTTTAATTATTTTATTTATCATTATGAGAGAGGGGGCATATACCATGGTACCCACGGAGATCAGAGGACAACTTGCAGGAGTCACTTCTCTTGTTCTATCACATGGTTCCAGGAACCAAGCCCGAGTCATCAGACTCCCACAAAAGGTGCTTTTACCCGTGAGCCGGCACACTGGCTCTTCTCGGTTTTTTGAGAGAAGGTTTTGTGTAGTTCAAGCTAGCTTCAAACTGGAGAACCCACAGCTCAGCTTTCTCTAGGGCTGGGATTACAGCTAGCTGCACGCCACCATGCCCCGCTGGAGACCATCATTTTCTAACGCCTAATGAAACAACTGATTCAGGCGAGGGTGAATGAATACAGAAGCCGTTATGTAAAGAGCTGTTAAAGAAACGGGTGTTTTCATAAAGAATTATACTCAAGTAGGGCTGAAACTATAGCTCAGTGGAAGAGTCCTTGCCTAACACTCTAGAGGCCCTAAAACCAACTCCTGATACTGCAAGAAAAAAAAAAAGCCATACTTATCGAATATATCGATAATGTAAACGAACGAAGTCATAGCTCTTCCTCCTGACCTATTTCTATTGTAATTATGACAAGAAAAAAAAAAGATAACCCTGAGTGTTTTCTAATCAAACAACATGTATTGTTGTGTATATATGGTGTGTGTGAATGCAAACAGGACACGTTGACACAGTACAAGTTTGGAGGTCAGAGGACAACTTCTGGGAGTTGATTCTCTCCTTCCACCATCAGATCTGAGGACGGAACGACAGTAATTGGACATTTTTAGCAAGAGATTTTACCAGCTGAGCCATGTCGCTGGCCCTGCTAAGCTCCTCCCGTGAGGGAGGGGTACTCGCTGAGTCAGCAAGTTCAGTTGCTGGGGTCGGGTGGGGGTTGCTGTTGTTGTTAGGTGAAACTGGGGGAATAGGGAAAACAATGACAAAAATGGAAGTAATAATGAATTTGTATCACTAAAAACCTACAGGGAAGAAAAGCCAGAACTTCGTGAATCCCAATTCTTGGAGATTTTTATTTATTTATTTTTTTTAAGAAATGAGAGATTCGTAACAAAAGCTCAAAGGGGGTAAGTGTTAAAACCAATTACTTGAGATGCAGATAAAAATCGAAATTATTTTGAAAGTAGTGGCTGAATGTGTGTGCGCACTATACACACATGACTATGCAGATGTACACAGCTGTGTGTGTGTGCCGTGTGATAGGATAAAAAGGGTAGATTAGCCGGGCGGTGGTGGCGCACGCCTTTAATCCCAGCACTCAGGAGACAGAGCCAGGCGGATCTCTGTGAGTTCGAGGCCAGCCTGGTCTACAGATCGAGATCCAGGACAGGCACCAAAACTTCACAGAGAAACTCTGTCTTGAAAAAAAAAAGAGTAGATTATTGAATCTACTTTTAAAAAGCAACTATTAGTTTTAAATATTTTACATCCGAATGGATTTTGTATATTGTATACAAATTTTGTATATTGATACAAATTTGAGAATAATTTTGTTAGAACATACTGTACATACATTTCTACTCTTGTTCAAGGTATTGTACGTATGCAACTCATTTAACAATGTAATGCAAATTTCTAGTCCTTGAAAGTTATTATTACCAACTATTTAGGATAATAAAGAAAAACAGGTTAGTTGTTAGTCACCTATTACAATTGAACTTGTAGTCATATTAGGTATGTTTTCAAGGTCAAACAGATATATTTAAGATAGACAGGTGGTCTTTAAACACTTCAGAGATCTACAGAATATGGCATTTAGGATGTTTTAATAACATAGGTTCTTTTTTTTTTTTTAATGACAATGAGACATGTCTGCTCCTGGCTGCACTTCAGAGAAGATGGAGTTTACTTTCTTTGTGGCAAAAGTTAGCCATTGGGCAAGAAAATGTCAACTGTTGACAGCATGCTGTCCAAATGGGACAAGCAGGACACAAAAAGATTGCTGAACTTTGCCAAGACAGGGTAGGACAGCCCTTCAGAAAATTTTGCTTCACAGATAAGTGATGGGGGAATGTCATTTTGTATCCTACGAATATATGTTGCTCTGATTGGTTGATAAATAAAGCCGTTTGGCGTATGGCAAGGCAGCTTAGAGGCAGGTGAAAAATTCAAAGAGAGAGCTAGGAAGAAGGTGGGGAGAGATGCCAGTGAGCTGCCCAAGGAGCAACATGTAATGGGACACAGGTAAAGCCATAGAACATGTGGCAATACATAGATTAATAGTTATGGGCTAATTTAAGATATAAGAGCTAGCTAGCAAAAGACTTGAGCCATGGCCATGCAATTATAATTAATATAAGCCTCTGTGTGTTTACTTGGGGGATATGAGTGGGAAAGATTTGTCCTGACCACCAGCAGGCCAGGACACAGGAAAACTTCTGGCTACAGATAAGTCTGTTGGATATGCTAGACCTGTAGGCTGAAAATGGATGCCTCAGTGTTGCAGAGGAACCTTGGGTGGCTGTCCAGGAAGCCAGCTGTTTCTGTCATTTCTCACATTTTTTGGAAGTCCCTTGCTTGAACTTCCTGCTTACTCAGTTAATATTATTTCCTTCTCGGGTCTCTGAGGGAGTTGAAGACCAGATAGTCATAGTTATAGTTTTCTTTGTTAACAAATTCAGAAAAGAAACTCACTAAAGAGGTGTAAAGTGTATAAGTTTGAATGACATCAGAAGATAATTTTTGGTTGGTAAAACAAGCTAGGATAAAAAGTGAATTAGGTAAAACACTTTGGACACACCAAAATAGGATAAATAATGGAATGTTTTCTCTAAATTTGTCAAGTGTTAATGGACTAGACATTATTGATGTAATTATTGCCTGTATATATTGAATATAGTTATTGTATATAGCTTTTCTTATATTAGTTATAACCTTTTATTATTTTAGACAAAAAAGGGGAAATGTGATAATTTGTTCATACTCTAACAAATATTTGCCTGAAGATCAGAGAACAGAACAAGCCACTAGATTAAACATAAAGGCCAGGCAGTGGTGGCACACACCTTCAATCCTAGCCCTCAGGATCTCATGCCTTTGCTCCCAGTACTTGGGAAGCACACACGCCTTTAATCCCAGCACTAGGAAGATTGAGACAGGAAGTGATATGGCGGAGAAAGGAATATAAGGCAGAGGAGACAGAAACTGCTCTTTTTTGGCTGAGAAGTTGGTGAGGTGAGAGGTGGCTGTAGCTTGTTGTTTTGCCTCGCTAATCTTTCAGCATTTACCCTGATATCTGGCTCCCGGTTACTAATAAGACCAATTAGATTAGTGCTATACCTGTGCCCTCAAGGGAAGGTACAGAGGTCAGAGGAAGGTGTCAGGTGTCCCTCTCCATCACTCTGCTTTATTCTTTGAGGAAGGTCTCTGCTGAACCGGGCAGCCAGAAAACCACAGAGATCATCCTGTCCTGGTCCCTTCGGTGCTGGGGATACAGGCATGCCTGGCCAAGCCCGGCTGGTTACACAGGTGTTAGGATCCCCAGAGTCTGGCCCCAGTGCTTGCACAGTAAGTATTCTTAACTGCTGGACCATCTCTTTGGTCCTTGACTTTTTTCTACTGGGATCCCTCACATTAACTGGGTCACACAGGTCCTTGTTTTACATTCCAATTGTGTAATCAACTGTGATGGTCGAAGGAGCTCACAGTAAACTTTCACAGCTCTCTTGACAAAGATCGGCCTCCCCTTCTCTTTCATGTGCGCTTCTTCCTGGAATCCATAATGCCCTTGTCAATGACCAAAGCTGATGACCCCACAACACCTTAGCTTGTGTTTCGGGTGTCTGGTCCTCAGCATCCGGAGACACGGAGCCCAGTGTATTCAGTCAGTAACAAGAAGTGGACCGCTCCAACATCTCACTTCCTCTTCTTCTCTCCCCGCTAGTTGTTTCTCGGCTCCATTCCTCTCCTCCTAATCTTTCTGTAAAATCACCTTCCGGTCCTCCGTGCAGACCCTCCACCACTGACCTCTGGTCTACCATGCTTCTTTGGATTTTCCATTCACAAGAGAACTGGCACCCTACCCCAAACGCATCCTTTTCTCCTGGGGCAACAATCAGCTCATTCTCACCTTCACGGGGAAAATATCCAAGGAATCTTCTGGTCCTTTCAGATTCGGACAAGGAGAGAATCTGCTGGAGCAAGGCCACCTTTTCTCCAGCTCTGTCTTTCTCCCTGTCCTCTCTCTCTCCACCAGATGCTCTCTGTGTAGGAAAGCGGTGGTCAACAAGGCAATGAAACCAGATCGACCAGTTTTCAATATGACTAAATACATATATATTTCTGACACGGTTTCTCTGTGCAACAGCTGCTCCCTTTTCCAAAATTATGATACTCTTGTATCAAGTTAGGAAAAAAAAAATCTAACCAGCACACCCCCAAATCTGATCAGGACTATAGGTGTATATATGACTTGAAAACATAAGGTAAAATATGTTAGAAAACAGACCAGGAAATCTTACCTTAGGCGGTTCTCGAGGTCTGTAACTCGCTCAGTTAGGTCCCAGTTGCCTCTTTCAATATTCTGAGAATTTGTGTTTTGCAAAATCTTAACTTTCATTAGAGAAGCAATAAGGTCTTGGAGGTTCTTGACGTCCTCTCTCAGGGACGTTATCTGTAGCGACTGCTGGGCATTACTTTCTCTGTAACTCTCTAACTCGGTCTTCATTTCTTGCAATGAAGTTTCTTTTATGAAAATTTTGTTTTGAATATTTCTCAGCTAATGAGAAGGGGATCAAAAGTAATACTTAAAATAACTTATCTTGATTTTAAACACTCGTGATATTAAGTTACTGTGAATATAAGTTATGTATTACTAGAGAATAAAATGAAGCCTTTCAAACCTATTCCTTAATAGTATATCTTAATGTTTAAAAGCCCTTTAAGACAAAATACAATGGCACTGTATGTTTGAAATAGTTTACCAACATTAAAACTGCGTGAGCCTTTATATTTCCCTAACTCCTAAATACAGGAATGATGGATTTGGAGATTTCGGTCAGAAAGGGGCAATGCTTTAGCCTTAGATGGCTTCCTTTCAGGTGTGTGGCTCACAGGCATGTTCGTTCACAGGCCTGATTTGGTTTCTGATCTTATTTGTGCTGGTGGGAAAAATAGAAGGGGAGAATCCAGAGGAAGAGCAAAGATTAAAAAGGTGCACGTCTTTAATCCCAGCTCTTAGGTGGCAGAGGCAGGCAGATCTTTGTGAGTTCAAGGCTAGCCTGGTCTACATAATGAGTTCCAGGACAGCCAGGACTATGTAGAGAAACTCTGTCTCAAATAAATAAGTAGATAGATAGATAGATAGATAGATAGATAGATAGATAGATAGATAGATAGATAATAAATAGATAGATAGATAGATAAATAAGTTAGCTGTATTTTAAGACAGATAAAGGAGAGAGATGACTCAGTAGTTAAAAGTACTGATTGTAGTTGAAGATTTCTGTGTTCCACCTGGCCCGTGGTCAGGACAAATCTCTCTTACCCGCCAGTCCTGCAAATGCTTGGACCCAAGAAAACACACAGAGGCTTATATTAATTAAACTGTATGGCCTAATGGCTCAGGCTTCTTGCTAGCTAGATCTTACATCTTAAATTAACCCATTTCTATAAATCTATACCTTGCCACGTGGTTTGTGGCTTACCGGTATCTTTATATCTTGCTTCTCATGGCGGCGGCGGCGGCGGCAGCCTTCCTGTTCCCAGAATTCTCCTCTCTCTTTATCCCACCTATACTTCCTGCCTGGCTACTGGCCAGTCAGCATTTTATTTATTAACCAATCAGAGCAACACATTCACAGCATACAGAGCAATATCCACAGCAGCTGATTGTACTCCCAGAGGACCCAGGTTCAATTCTCACCATCCACATGTTGTCTCCCAACCATCTCTAACTCCAGTTAGGGAACTGACACCTTCTTCTGGCCTCTGTGGGCACCACGTATGCATGTGGCACACAGACATGTGTTCATGCATGCAAACATTTATACACACCAAGTAATAAAATAAAATTTAAAAATATTTTTAAAAGACAGATAAAGGGGAGGAGAGGTCATAAAGTTCTGAAGAGAAACAAGAGAGATGGTTTACTAGAGGAGAAGCAAGTCCAAGAGGAGCAGAGGTCAATGAAGGAAAAAGGAGACGGGGGGTATGGTGGCTCACACCAGCAGGAAGGTCAGAAGTGTCCAAGGCCAGGCAGGTCTACATAGTGAAAGCCTGTCGGTAATAATAATGATAATGGTAATAATAATAATAAGGCAAAAACAATAAATAAGGCCACAGTGACAGGTCTAAACTTGTGCTCAGGTTCCAAATGAAAATGTTTAATGACATTGACTCATCAGCCACTGATCCCGGGGTTGAAATCCAGCTGTGTCTAGTTAGGTTTTCCAAACATTGATTTGGTACTGGATTTCACTGGTTCAAAGGTCTACATGCTGGAATGAATCTACCCATCTGTTTTCAAGGCTCTTCCTCTGAGGTACATCATCCTGGCAGAGCATTTCACATGCTGCTGACTAGTCCTCCAAGGTCTGAGAAGCTCAGCCCTGCAGAGCCCAGAACCACAGGCAACCCAGAGGATAGCCACAGCACAGGCTGACTACTGAGGCATCTTTTGTCTCTCCCAGGACAGGAAGGGCCACGGCTTAGTGAACAGCCACTGGCTCACACTCACGTGACCACTGAGCTCCACCAGCCATACCTGGTCAGAGCTCCAGCCTACTTCCTGCAGGCAAGCATGTCAGAAAGGGATCACTGTCATTTTGTTCCCCATTGATTGTCCAGATCTACACCTCAGGGCTCCCAGATACCCTGCCACATCTAGATCTGGTCCCCGCTGTATTTGCAGACTGGGAATGTGTATTCCATAGTTTCTTTGTGTTTCCCTTCCGTAGTTGCTTGACTGTAGGGAACAAGTGACATCCTGAGCCACAGAAGTTCTGAGTGAGTGCGCATTGTTTGAAGAGCCCACCATGCCAAGAAGCAAGAAATCAGACCCACCCCAGGTTCAGAAAGGAGGTAAAGCCTTGCTCTGTCCTCCAAGTGTTTATGAAGAATTGACCAGTGTGTTCAAAAATTAGCAAGTGCAGCAACTTCATCTCTGGATGTTTACTGCCTGAGAGGATGCTCCTCTACAGAAACCCATGGGGACTAGCTAAATCCTCCCCCGTTGGTGCTATACATAATAAACACACCGAGGCTTCAAATTGTTGTGTTAATAGGTGCGGCTCCATTAGAGCATGCACAGCTACCTGACCTCAGCTGTTCTGTCTGTATGTCTGTGTGTCCCTCATGTCTTCACTCCCTCACCACTCCTAGTCAGAGCTGCAGACCCCATTCATGGGGTTAGAGGTGCTTGGCCCAACCAACGTCCCTGGGTTTGCTAGTAAATACAATATATGCCTCGTTTAAGATCTACAGTGAATGCCTATGCAGTCTGTGAAACTTCACATCTAGGCATGGCCAGCATTTGTGGAAGTAGCTAGAAGAATGTGCATCGCATCCGATCCCAGTCTGTGGTGGGGTTGCTTAGGGCCAGCATGAGTGACACTGAACATGGCCTTGTGTCCCTTGTGTAGAACACCAAGTTTGGCAGGCAGTGGTGGCGCACACCTTTAATCCCAGCACTCGGGAGGCAGAGCCAAATGGATCTCTGTGAGTTCAAGGCCAGCCTGGTCTACAGGGCAAGATCCAGGACAGGCACCAAAAAGTACACAGAGAAACCCTGTCTTGAAACACCAAAAAAAAACAAAAAAAAAAAAAACAAAAAAAAAACAAAAAACTACCAAGTTTATGGGGGTAAAGGGAAAGCAAGCGCCAGATCAACAGTGACTTCATTACAGCCCAGGAGAATGCCACCGACATCCCAGACAGTACAGCTTTAAAAATAGAAGTGATGGCAAGCAGGTGACCTTCGGAGACCTGGATGCATTCCTTGCTGCTCTGAGCTGCACTCAGCCACTGCAGTGGGCCGCTGTGATGATGGTCTTCTTTGGGACAGTCCTGAGGGGCTGAAGGAGAGCAGGACAGTGGGGACACCTAGAGCTGTGTCATGTTAGAGACAGACTGGACGTGGCCCGCAGGCCTGCCATAGTCTCCTCTTCTTGCCTGGCCTCGCGCTCGGTATAGTCCCCTGTTTTATTCAGGAAGTCCGCCTCCTTGCACACAGGGTAAAAGCACCGGTTAATCTTGCAGAAGACCCAGGTTTGGTTTCCAGCACCCAGCACCACATGACAGCCCACAGCTGTCTGTAACTCCAGTTGCACGGGACCTGACATCCTCTTTTGGCCAAAGATGCATGCAGGCAAACACTCATACACATAAAACAATGATAAATCTTTAAAACACGTTGAATTTGTATTCAACTTCCAATACTCAACTTTCTATGTTACCAGTGACTTCTTAACTCATTACCGCTGCAGCCCACCTATGCAAGAGTTTTATATCAATACCATATTCCCTAAACTAGTCCACATAATCACCAACTGAATCGGCTCGTATTTATTCCTTCTATATCTGGCCTCACCCAAATATAGATCTCTTGCACCTGTTTCTCTGTTATAGGACAGAAACACATTGCAATTATTTTTGTAGGTTATACAAAGAGATAAGGTTAATTATAACAAAAAAATTGAAATGCACGCGGTGAAGAGGAAAACTGCCTTACCAAGACAATTGGGTCCCTGTGGCACTAAATGGTAGGTGGCTGAGGAAGGCAAAGATGACTCACGCTGAGCCTCAGGTATCTTGCTGGAATCACTACACTTCCTTTTATAACGTTAACATGAGGATACCATATAATAATAACTGTCACGAAATTTTTATTTTGAGACAAGGTCTCATTAGGCAATCCAGGCTGATCTCACACTCGGCATCTTATTTACTCAGCCTTCTGAGTACTGGCTCTATAGGAGTGTGCAACCATGCCTGGCTTGAATTTTTTTCCTTTTTAAACCAATTTATTTATTTATTTCTTTGTGTGTGAGGTGGGGCGGGGGTTGGGAGGTGCCTGCCATGGAACATCCACAGAGGTCAGAGGACAACCTGCAGGAGTTGGTTCTCTCCTTCCACTACATGTGTCCTGGGGATCAAACTCAGGTTGTCAGTCTTGGCAACAGGCACCTTCACCCAGTGAACCATTTTTTTGGCTCTGGCCTTGATATTATTAAATTAGAAAATGCCGATAGGAGCTATGAAATACTTCTTGGGGGGCTGTAGTTGGAGATCAAACTCAGAGACTTGCATATTGCCCGGCATGCACCTTACTACTGAGCTACATCCATAGGCCCTATGTAGACCAGGCTAGCCTCTGAAGTAATCCTCCTACTGAACCCTCCTGAGCACTGGGCTTACAGGTGCACATCACCTCATCTAGCTGGAACACTTTTTAATGTATATGGTATCAGAAACCATGTCAAAATGGCCCCACCAGAACCCTTTAGATGTTTATATGTCCACAGAGAGTAGCTTCAAAAAACAATACTTTGAAAGTCAGGTGTGATAGTGTAGTGAGCCAGACACTGTGGTACATGGCTATTGTCTGAGGTACTTGGGAACCTAAAAAGGAGAATCAATTGAATCCACGAGTTCAAGGCTATCCAGGACCACATAGTGAGACACCATCTCAAAACAACCAAAGAAAATCTTTGAAATTCTTGAAAATGATTTACATATTTTCTTTAAGCAAGGTACCCAAAAACCTTTCTTGGCAGTTTG